ATCTTGCGTGCTGGGAATGAACAGGCTACTTTTTCTGTGACTGAGTTTGATCACTCTGCTATGATTGCTGTCACGCCTGTGCATGCTATGTCTGATCAGGTACACGAGTCTGTCGTGTACCCTTCTGCACCTCCTATTTTGTAGGACCCTCCTATCATTCCTTCGCCGCCACTCCATCCAGCCTCGCCTCCGAACAAAAAGCTCAAGGAGGAGTGGCGGCCGAAGCAGCAGGTTGCTAAGCATGCACGGAAGAAGAGTGGAGACCACTATGAGCTGGTCCCACCTCCTCCACCACGACCACCCTGGCCGTCTGGGTACTCGCTCTCCTGCATCTTGCCAGATGGGCAGGTCGAGCTGACTGATGAGGGTGGTCACATCCGTCGGGTGCATGGCCACAACCTCAAGCTGTACCTCAAGAGCGATGTGGATCCGCTCTTGGAGGCACCTGTTCCTGCACCGCCCTGAGTATCCCCCATGGGCGTCCAGCTAATACGACGGTAAAGAAGCGCTTGTGGGGAGGCAACCCCACCACGGTTTGATTTTCTTTCTTGTGTTTTGAGTCGGATTGTAACCCGGTTTGGGTTTGGTTTGTTTTCTTTTGGTTTGGAAGATATTTTATTGGGCTGACCATTGAACCTAACATATTGTGTTTGAGCTCTTCTGTTCCCCTTTGGCTGTGCTTGCCCCGACTGGCCCGTTTCCAGTCTCCTGCAGTCCGTGCATACCGGTAACATCGTTCCCTTTTCCTTCCCTCTTCTCCATTGAGGGCAATGTCGAGCTTAAGTGTGGGGGGATGTTTATCTTTAACTGCATTAGATCTGTTTGTGTGCTTGGAGCCTAGTCCACTGTCCAAATTTTTAAATTTGAGGGCTCCAAGTACGTGTTTCCATGCAATTGCCTGCTCAGTATGCTTTGAATTGACAGTCTTTATAGTAATATGCAACCTAGGGAGGTAGTGTAGCACTATGGAGGATGTTGATGCATTTAAGAAGTCTCATTTCTTCTTCATATAAAGTTGGTTGATTGAGTGAATTAGTGATCTTAGGACCCTTGAATTGTGTGGTGTTGTGGATTCTCTGCCTGTCATGGACTCTTGTATCATGTTTTGAGTTTAACAGGTGCTCGAAAATGTGCTTCAAATAACGTCTCCCGTGCGAATAGGGCGAAAGTGTGTAAGGGGAGACGGGAATTCGTTCCCAATTTCCACCTACTACCTCCAGCCCCCTTACATGTCTTTCCCCCGCACGAGGCTCGAGACATCCGCTCCTGGCATGGCCGGTAAGAGCAGGTTGGGACCCTTGAAAAGAAAAGAAAAGAAAAATAACAGAAAACAAGCAAAATAGAAAAAAGGGGGTTCCAACCATCTTCAAGAATAAAATAGAGCACCTTGAAAAATGTGAGTCCATGATCTGTTGTTTTTTAGAATCTCTTCATCCACAATTCATTTGTCCACTGTTCACTATTTGCCATGATGCCGACTCGCCGAAGAAGTTATGAGATGACTTGTGCGTCGGTTGACCTCGTAAGTTGCTAATTGACCTAGGAAGTCCTCTACCTACGATCTGGGTTGTTTGTTGCTATAGAGGTCTGGAGAGTTGCATTGGTTTGAGTTAGGTTTGCTTGGGGACAAGCAAACGGTTAAGTGTGGGGGAGTTTGATAGACCGTTAGTTACACATGTTTTCACCCCTGTTCTTACACCGTTTGAGAGGTGGTTTCTCGTGTTTTAGACCGATTTCACGCTAGGTTGTGCTTGTTTGTGATATTTCAGGTCCTGGCAAGTGAATGAAGGTTTAGGAGCGAGTTCGGGGTCGATTGGGTGAAGATCGGGCGCGAGACAAGTCACGAAGGAGGTCACACGGGCTGCCCTGATGTTCACACGGCCGTGTGAGGTAATGGCCTGGCCGTGCGAGTTTTGCCGAGAGCACACACGGGCAGAGCAGAAGATCGACACGGCCGTGCAAGTGGCCGGGTTGGCCGTGCCACATTCTGCGAGAGAAAACACGGGCAAGAGGGGATGTCCACACGGCCGTGCCATTCTGGCCGTGCAAAGAGCCTGGAATTCGAACTAAATGAAACGATGCGTTTTGACTCACACGGGCAACTGGGTGAGCTGCACGGCCGTGCCACCCTGGCCGTGTGAGTCGGGATTTTCTCCTTTTAAGCAGAATTTCAGCCACAATTCGGGGGGATTCGAGTTTTTGAGAGAGAGATCAGTTCCTAGAGAGAGAAAGTGACGAGCAAGAGTTCCCAAGTGCCCTAGATTGATCTTCAACACCATTGGAGGCCAGCTTGAGCTTGGAGAAGTGCCAATCAACGTCCAGAAGCAGGAATCCATCCTTCGCAGTATGAATTCCGTGTCTGATTCTGCTTTTGCTTCTTTCTCTATGGAGTAGTTCTCCCATTCATCTGGGTATGGAGAACCCTAGATTTGTATGTTAGGCTTTGATTGTATGAACCCAAGTACTGATTCTGTGATTGATTATATTCGATTGAGGTTTTAATGATTGAATGACTTGAATCCTGATCAAATTCCTGTTGTTTCTGCTTTAACCTAGAATGAGAATATCTGCCTAGGTTAATAGAGTATCCTTGATTGAAGGTAGGGAGTTGGTGACTTTAGTCGAGGAGCCAACTCACTATTCTGTACCGGATTTACTCCGGTAGTGGAGGTTTTGTTCTTAGGGCCTCAATCTGTCGACTCCGGTGGAGGTTAGTCGCCCGCTAGAGAGTCAGATTGAGAGGGTCTGAAGACCTTTAGTCGAGACTTCAGGCTGTTTAAGAACCTTCCGCAGTATAACTGTCATAGAAACTGAACTTGGTAATTACAATCCGGCTTAACTGCAGTCTAGGGGGAACCATATCCGGGTGACCTCTCTTAACCTGAATACAACAGTTTACTTGCTTTGTTAGTATGATAGTTTAGACTTGCATGCCAGTTTCATTGCTAGATAACAAGAATTCACTGAGTAGTCATCACATCTAGGACCCGGGTTGATAATTAAACCCAAACTCGCTATACTACGCTTTAGGAAGTGGTTTCACTTGGCCAATTCCTGGAGTGACAGTAGAGTCGAGTCAATTATTTATGAGTCTTTTTGGTTTTTGTATGGTTCTTTGATAAGGAGATAACACATAAGCTCAATTTGTTGGATCTCAACTAGATGAAGAATCAACTAACTTTGTTCTTCAAATACGCAAATGGAGGTTCAATTTAGTGTTATTTTTGTCCGAGTTAGTAGGTAGTGTGTCGCGGTCTGTTACGGTTTACTGCGGTAGACCGCAGTCCAGACCACTTCAGACCACACACTAAAGGAGGAGACCGCAAACCAGACCAGACCATAGTTCTGGTCTCACGGTCCAGGCTAAACCATAAGATACGGTCTAGACCGCGATTTTCCATACGGTTTGGTCTAGATTCCCAGCCCTAGTAACAAGTTCATTGGGCTCTACAAAATGAGATCAATTTTCAATATATTTCGAGAAACTTTTTTCATACCTCCCATTACCAACTACATACCATATGGTAATTTCTTCGTTTTAAGTCGTTTTTGAAAATGTTTGCTTAGAAGGAACGAGTTCATCATGATCTATTGGGCCTACAAATTTCTGGGTGAAAAAAATACAGGACCAAAAATTACCATACTTTACCACTATGGTATGTGGGTGGTAACTTGTGGTAAACAATGATGAAAGTAGTAAATGACAGTTAGTAGGGGTGGCTATACGGTCCGGTTAAATTGGCCCAAATTGATCCGGTCCAGTCCGGTCTTTTTGAAAATATAAGGACCGAAGATTGGATTGGATACAGTCCGGTCTTGATCCGGTCCGGTCCCAATTTGGTCTTGATTTTACATTGAGATTGTGGGATTTGAGTGGCCTAAGGCCTTAAAGGGTAAGGAGTTGGTTAAGTTTTGTACTAAGTGCAAAGGTTTGTGACCGTTTATGCAAATTACCCTTAAGTTTTGGGTGTTGAGCTCTCTTATCCGGTCTTTATCCGGTTTTTTACCTCAAATCTAAGCCCAAAGATTGGATTGGATTGTTTACTATCCGGTCCCGGTCCGGTCTCGGTCCGGTTTCCGGTTTTTAATCCGGTCCCGGTCGAAATAGCCACCCCTAACAGTTAGTATACTCCTACTATCATGTATTGAACCTTCCTACCATATTGGTATGTTCATATCATCATGGTACACTTTCTTACCATATGATATTAAATAGGAGCATACCATATGGTATTGACTGGTAAAAAATGAATCAATTTTTTGTTTTGTTCTAAAAATATATCAAAGTGGATATCATTTTAAAAAGAATAATTAATTTCATTTATGTGTGCAAATTTTTTTTGATTCCGACTTAAAACGAGAGAGAATGTTCGTTAAAGATTAAAGGAGAAAAGATAAAAGGCTTTCCATTAGAGAGAGGGATGTCGATGTCATGTTGATGTGGACGGGTCACTCATGGTTACTCACCGTAAGGTTACTGACCTGATCCGCTCCCCTATTAGGCATAATCATGCACACCACGGGAGGACATAGTCTAGCAGCCTTGTGGTGCTAGGCGCAAAAAGGTAAAAGTCACAACAACTAATCGTTTGGAAGTTGTAATTGTTAAATAGATGTATTGTTGTGAATGCATGTATAATATTATACTTGTATTGTCGAAAATTGATGCATTGTAGAATACAATGTTTTGTATGTGTGATTGTGTATGTCACATAAGCTAAAAGGTTAGACAAAATAATCTCAACTCAACTATCTCAACAATCACAACTAAAGTTTGAGATATAAAAATCACTCATTTTGAGTGATAGTTACTAAGGACAAACTCAACTCAACTAATCATTTTGAGTAATCTCAACTCAACTAACTCAACTATCTCAATAATCACCGTGGTTACTAAGGACAAACTGGGTATAACAAAAAATATAGGGTTAAAACCCTAGTTTGGGCTGAAGTTTAACGTTAGTGACCGTTATGGCCTCATTTTTCAAATAAGACATTTACGGCTACTTTTAAAATTATTGGACAGATTTGACCCGGAACTTGTGTTGACCGTTAATATTAACGGTCAAACACTTATTCCGTTAGTGACTCAGCAAAAAACTACTAATGTGGTTATACATGGTGCCACGTCATTAAAAATTATTATTTTAATTTAATATAATTAAAATTAACAAATTAAATAAGATGGATCCCTTACTTATCTCCCCTTCGTCCTCTCTGTTTCACAGATCCACTTCCCCCTCTATCTCCACCGCTGCTTCCTCCACCAACCACCGTCGACAACAAAGTGAGACTATTCTCATCAACCGCCGTTGAAGTACCGCCCCTCGGAAACACCACCCCTTTCGACGAAATTTCTATCTCCACGGCAGCATCCGCCGCTAAAGTCGTCGGCATAAAAATTTGCCCCTCACAGGTTGCAATCGAATCGACGTCACCGTCAGGGTCGATGTGGACACCCCCAACCACCGCAATCTTCTATCGAAAACATCCAAGCTACAACGCCACCATCGGGATTGTGTGAAGCCCCGCCACAAGACGAAGACGGTGGTGGTGATTTTTCAATTTAGTTGCCGCTCCGCCGCAGCTAGTGGCGGACCTAAGGTAAGGGAGGGTGTGTCGAGAATTTTATGAAGGACCTACATATTTTTTGTATAAATTTTTTTTTTCGAGATAGCCGACACACCTTCATTATACTCGAAGAATTTATTATCCGAATAAATCAATCTTAATCATAATCCTTTTTAATTTTTTTTAAAATAACTCATAAATCATAATCCTATCAATTCCTATTAAAAAAAATCTCAGCCCATACAATATATATGTGTGATGGGCCTCGGCCTATAATTAAAATAGGGGAAAAAACCCCACAGGCCTAATAGCCAATAGCCCAGGCGGCCACTAACTCCCCATCATTACATGTTGCAACGACAAGCTACGAAAGAACATTTTTAGCTAAGAAGATAATCAAGAATGATCTTCGAAATCGGTTGAGTGACCAATTTATGAATGATTGTTTAGTTGTGTATATTGAAAAAGATTTTCTTTGCAGTATAAGTGATTAATGTATTTTAGAGACATTTAAGCAGATGAAAAGTCATCGCGGTTCGTTGTAAACATGACTTTGTGAACTTTATGAATTTTTTTTAATTTCTACTTATTTTTTAATTTAATTTAATTATTATGTTATTTTATCGGCGACACACCTCTCCGACAATCCTGGGTCCGCCACTGGCCGCAGCCAATGTCGTCCCAGAGGTACGACTGTGGGGTTTCCGCCCTTCATGGCCAGTACTGGTTCTTGATTAGGTTGCTTCGTCGGTGGAGAGTAAGAAGGGTGGTTCAAAGAAGGGGATGAACCAATCAGGACGGAGGCGGCGAGAAGAAGAGATGAGGGTCGGAGGTTTTGGGGATTTTGAGATTAACCCAAAAATTTATTAATGATCTTTTTTAATAAATTACATAAATATATTAAATACAATTTTTTTCTCTCTCTTTCTCTCACTTCCACAATTTTTCAGCCATATCTCTCTTCCTTCTTTTTCTCGATCTTTCCTTGATTTCGTTCAGCCAAACTAATACCGCCGCAACAACAAAACAATAAATCAATACCAATCCATTAAAAAAAATACCACCATTGTACAAATCATCAATACCATTCGAGAAATAAAAATACTACCATTTCAAAAAACACCAATACCATTGCATATTTAATCATTACCAATGTGACAAAATCAATACCAATATGATAAAATCAATACCAATGCGACAAAAATAATACCAATGCGACAAAAACAATCTCAATACGACAAAACACTACCACTACGGACAAGCAGGCGACGATGGATGAACAAGCTGAGCTGTCGGCGAAGGAAGGCGGCAGCGTCGATCTCCTCTCTAAACCCAGGTCGCCGCCGAGGAAGAAGCTGACGGACAGGGAGGCGAGAGAGGGCGGTGGCCCCAGGGGTGGAGCTACTTAGAGGGTAGCCCACCCGGGAATAGTCTCGACCCCTAGGACTGTAAGGATATTTAGATAAAAGTTGAATAAGTAGTACTCGGCCTATACAAAGTCTCATGAATAGTCATGTGGTCTACTGGTAGCTAAGCTAATTTTTAGCTTTGCATTTTTTTTTGTTACTTTAATCCAACTACAAATGAAAAAATCACCCTCTACTTAGTTCATTTGGGAATTTTAGCTCTCTATAGAAACTATATGATCTTTTTTTTTATCTATGTCGGGATCAATAGAAATATGATTGTCCAAGGAATTCTATTTTGTAGATAGGTTGATTTGTCTTCTTCAAACTCTTCAAGTTTTTCACTGCTACATGTGATCTTGCATATTTTCAGGTATAAAGATAGTGAATAATAGATTGCGAAACAAAATAAATGATGAGTTTCTTGTTAATGATTTAGTTATTTATATTGAAAGAAAGATAACTAAATTTTTTAGTTTAGATGCTATTTTGTAATATTTCAATGATCTCAAAGGATGTTTGTATACTTTAAAAATAACTAAAATAATTTTTTATTTTTATTTACATTTAACTATTTTCGGCCCACCCGGTCTCAAAATCCTGGCTCCGCCCCTGGGTGGCCCTCAGCCTCTCGCAAATCCTAAGCCATCGTCGGGGAGGGTGAGAGCTTGCGGCTACGGAGGGTTTGGCTGTAGAAGTAGGGTTAGGGTAGAATATATAGAATAATCAAGTGTGGTCTTTTTTTTCCTTCCAAAATTATCCTGAGGCAATCTTAACCGTAAGATTAAAAAAAGAGAAAAGAGAAGAAAATAAATGGTGGATACAGATGTAGCCACGGTGGCTACTAGAAATCCACTAGCTTATTACCCGGCCCGTTGGCCGGATTACTTTATGTTACCCACTTGTGGAATGGGAGAGAAAGCAAGTGAGAGTGAAGGGATTGTGATTCCACTTGATTAGGACCGACCCACTAATCTAATTCTTCCCGACCCGCCCCAACCTAAAGGGTCAGAAAGAGTCAATAAGAAAATACGAACAGAGAGAATTAGTAATATATCTTGACTCTTCAGAAGTGGGTCAAACATGATCAATGTTGGGTGAGGGCAATTTTTAGCGCTAAGCAGAGTTCTGGGTTGAATAACTTTACTTAGTCCTAGAAATTGGTGCTGATGCAGACTGCAGTTTTTATCATACCATCATCAATCATCGTTGAATTAGTCCTAGGCATCCCTCCCCGTTGTCGGTCTGAATTTTAATGATGGCTTCATTCCTTGCACCAGCCATATCGGCGAGTTGTCATCTCGAGCATGATTTGCCTATGTACAAATGATACAATTAGAGTATGGAACTGATATCAAAGAAAAGGAAAATAGAATTCTGTCACATGCCAATAAATACACACTTAATAGTTGAAGCTAAGTGAAAGTCATTACTCGCACATCAATTCTCAAAAATTACAGACTAAACAATGGCTAGAATGGCACTGAAACTACCAAAAATCATGGACGAAACAACTTGTCAAATTAAATAATCCTTATACTGAAACTACCTTCTAACTTGAAATAATACATGATCACAGTTCATAGCACTCTTATCACTATGAATTGGTCGCAGCTCGTCCTTATCACTACCTCCCAAGCTCAATTCAAACAGAATAGACACAGTTATGTAAGATAACCATATCCTTACTGATCATAATTCCTTTCTTCACTCCATTTTTGTCGGAGAAAAGAGTTATCCCCCTCTCATGCATTTCCCTTTCCCCCTCTCTTCTCCCTCTTCTTCACAAACCGATCCCTAAACCAGCAACAACAACACAAAAATAGCCTTCGCCTCTGCCATCTCCATCTATTGAACGCATTGGTGGCAAGACAGGACTGCAGAAGCAAAATTTTCTAAAATCAAACTAAATTTTTTGAAGGATACTCAACCACGAAAAAAGAGTAAAGCAACAATGCTAATAGTTCAGATGGTTGGTTTTGATGTTATACGTTGCTTTTGTTCTGGTATCCAGTGTATCAACTGCAACAGAGATGTTTCCTCCAATCATCTTTAGTGCACGATTTAGAAGTAAGTCCTCTTGTTTGTGTCAAACGGAAACATTCATGGGTTCTTAACTCCCCTGTTAGTGTAAATGCAGCAGCAGCAAAGAAGTTTGACAACACAGCAAGCACCCAGGCAAAATGATACAATGCAGTAGGTGATATGTGTCTCGAAGGTTTTGAGTTACTAAAGTTCATGTTAAAAATAAATATGAATTAAAATGGATTATTCTATTAAGCAAACATCCCCTCTAATCATTCAAAGATCAGATATCCAATTCACAAACAATTAAGCCATAAAAAATCATCAAACATCCACCACCTTTGATTGCCTAAATTTGGTTTTTCGCAAAGTTATGGACTCTTAAGGGTAACGTTCATGGGTAGTCTGTTTCATAACTCTAGAGAGCATAGTAAGCAGCCACCAACCAGACACAGTGCGGTAGGCGAATATGATTCTCAATTCACAATTTCTCACCACCGAAAGTAAGAACAGACCATAATAAGCGTAGCGTTCATGTGTGGTCTGTTTCATAGCACTACTACACAATTTGTTAAAAAAGAAAGAAAGGTATTTAGCATCACGACGAAACAACTTTTACAGGCCAACAACGACAACATGCTGCAACCACCAGAACTGGTATCACAACTCATAGGGAAAATCAAAAGATTTACTCTCAAATTAAGTAGTTACAACATCGAGCAATCGTCAAGCACATACACCACCACAAAAGTCACAGAACCTGATTCACAAAGCATTCAAACATTTGAGGACATTTCTGCAAAGGTAGAACTTATATGTCTATTTTCCAAGCCATTTCCATCAACATGCTAATAAATTTGCAATGCATAAAACAAACAGGCCAAAACTTGAAATTCAACCTGTTTGACCGACCCATGCCAAATTTTAATTATTCTTTACTTTTAAACTTTCTATTTGAAAATAAAAAATAGTGAAAGAAAAGAGACGACTACAATTCGCCATTTGCACATCACTTATTTGGGAATAAAACCATATAAATTCAAAAGGAACTGAAAATGTTTAGGATCGTTTTAATGTTTAAAATAACCAAATAGATCTTTATGTTTAGTTTTTTACTACCAAATACCAAACGATTCCCTATAAAATACACTATAATTTGATCATTATGATGTCAAATAATTATAAAATATATATTTGAAATGATAAAAATTGGACTAATTGGGTTGGTCGAGGTTGAACCATTGAATAACTTTAAAATACATTATATTTTAGCCACTAAGATATAAAATAATAGCATAATATATATTATGTCAGAGAAAATAGCTTGTTTTAAAATGGCAAACCAATGATGTTCATTTGTTTTACTTGATGACCAAATCCCATGTAGGTCAGGCTCATTCAACTCTTTTGTTTTATGGTTAGCGGTTAGCCCATTAGATACCATGCATTAGTTTATTGTTAAATTTTTTATTTTTAATAATAAAAAGTAGTATTATTTTTGCCTTTTCATATATATTTTATCACCACGGAGAAATAAAAGGGTATAAAGAAAAAAATTGACACTCTTGGACCCGTTTAAATCCGCATGTGTACGGTAAGTTGGCCCGTTCCACAGAGGAA